TTGCTTGTGCTTTTAGGGTCATATCTAAGAATCCACTGTTGGAAATATAGGTCCTGAAGCATTACCCCATGATATGTTCTAGGAGCCATTATTCATTAAGTACAAGTTAATCCTTGTTTGTAATCATTAGTTCATGAAATGTTTGTAGAAAATGGTCAAAGGACAAAATAGCTTTACATATTAATATATATTATCTGCTGCATATTTTATTGAATATTATCTAATAACTTAATATAGTCCTCTAAAGCCTTTGTGACATAAGCATTATTATCCTTTCCTACACAAAGAAATGACGTTGTAGACTGCAGGAAACTTATCAGAGGCTGTAGTAAGTTAACAGCAAAAGGAATTTGAAATCCACCACTCACTTCCTACCCTGCATCCCCATCTTCGGTTGGGTCCCTCTGCAATGTGCAACCATAGGAAGGGTCTTTAACAATCATCACTGCACCGATGCATATAATTGCTTTCTTACTCTCCAACTTTCCTGCTTAATGAGACACACGTCCATATTGCTCATATTCATAACCATGATTTCTAGCACACATTGTTGTTGTTATGGGCCATCAAGTTGGACCCGACTCATAGCAACCCCTCCTTGGGTTTCTGAGACAGAATCACTACAGAAGTAGATTGCCCAAACTTCCTTCTGAGGCGTGGTTGGTGGGTTTGAACCACCAGCCTTCTGGTCAGCAGTCAAGTGCCTTAGGCACTACACTACCAGTGCTCCCTAGCACACATTGTTGTTGTTGCTATTATGTGCCATCAAGTCGGACCCTACTCATAGCAACCCCTTCTTGGGTTTCCGAGGCAGTATAACTACAGAAGTAGATTGCCCCATCTTCCTTTCGAAGAGTGGCTGGTGGGTTTGAACCGCCAGCCTTCTGGTTAGCAGTCAAGTGCCTTAGCCACTATGCTACCAGAGTTCCTCTAGCACACATTAGAAGTCTAATAAATATTTGTCGAATAAATGAATGAGAATTCCAAAGACTATGCTCTAAACACTATACTAAAACAAACCTCTATGAGTATACTTATATATTTTTTATTAAATGGTCCTCATCTTGTTTCAGACTATGAAACACTGAAAACCTTAAAAAATCAGGATAATCAGGCCACAAACCCACAGCCAACCTTCATTTCATGGGTTCACATTTCCTATCAGTTCCCTCTCCTCTGGCATCACAGACAAGCACAGCTCCAACATAACCAGCAGTTTTGGTTTGGAATGGAGGAGAGAGATCTCCTGATCCCTTAAACGTTCCTCCCTCTCCATACCTATAAGCTAGTGGTTAAGAGTATTGTTCCGGAATTAGAGGGCCAAATTAAAACCTTGGTTCTGCCAAATACTAGTAGTATAACATTGAACATGTTAGTTCATCTCCCCAAGTTTGATATTCCCTGATTGTAAAATGGGAATAATAATGATACTTACTTCATAGAGTTCTTAGGGTTAATTGAAATAGTGCATGAAAAATATCTATAGCAATGCTTTATACACTATAAATATTAAATACATGTCAGCTCTTGTGATTATTATTAGTAATGGTGCATTCCTTCCCTCCCCATTTCCTTCCCAATGATGGCATAAGTGGGATCCATAATGACCTTGACCACACATCTCCTAAGATAGGCACTTGACTTCTGTGGAATAGAGTAGGTTTAGCCAGTGAACAAAAGATTTTGAAGTAATGAATGAATCACACTCACAATTGTTTAGTTGATTTAGTTATCAAATTAATACATGGAATGAGTCTTAGAGAAAGAATGTTATAATTTCAAGTTTGTTGCTTGCTGTGATAACTTTATTTCAGGTAAAGACTACAGAAGAATCCTTTCATTTTTTCTTCTCATGAAATGAACTTCACCTGAGTATAGACAGAAAGCTTCATCTCTTTTCTCTGTTACCTGGAAAGAAAAAATAGTATCTTATGCAGAAAAAGAATATGAAATGTTATAAATTGGTGATGGAAAATCATATATTTGAAAAACTTTCAGTGACCACTATGTTTCACCTATTATAGATCTAAATCTACCCTCCATTGGATGTATGCCTCTCTTCTCTGACATAATTTATCATAAGCTTTATCTACACCACCACTTGTTCCTCAAGTTTGTGTTGAGTCTTGCATAAACTGCAGGGGAGGGGACATCCTTCACATATCCTTTTGTGTAACAGCAGAAGGGAAGAGGAATGGGTATCTTGTAATTGTTGAGAAAACTGTTTGAACATTAAGAAAAGTGCTAACACACATGCAGCATTGTCACCCTTAAGGAGTTATTGATAGCCAGAGAAACACTGCAGGACCAGCATGGGCTTGTTACCTACAAGGCAGTAGGGAAGAACAGAAGTAGATATTGAAGCATGAGTGGGAAAAATGCAGGGTGGCCAGATAAGCTATAAATATCCATGGTATTTGCTTACTATGAAAAGTATTACCTTTGGTGCTTTTTATGCTATGTTTCTGAAGCAGTCTAGATTTTGGCTTCCAGTTTTGGACCCTGAGTGGAAAGAAGAGAACATGTAGGGTAAAAAAAATTAAGAGATTATTTTTCATATCTATGAAATTTGGAAAGATAAATTAAACCACTCATATTGTATAGGGAGACAGTGAAAACTCTTCCTTCAAGTGAACTTGAGGACAGATCTCCAAGACTTTTATGAACTGACAGTAGATCCATTCCTACCTTTTTACATGGCCCTGATATACATCTCTCTTAGGTAAATGATAGGTAGGAACTGCTATTTTTAGGTGCTGTCAAGTCGAATCCGACTCACAGAGATCCTATATACAACAGAATGAAACACTGCCCAGTTCTGCACCAGTGTTACATGGCTCTTCATAAAAGTTTTCCAGTAAAATATCAGATAGTGTTTCACTGTTATTCATAAGGTTTTCATTGGCCAATTCTTTCAGAATGGATGGTCCTGTCCTTCTTCCCAGTCTGTCTTAGTCTGGAAGCTCTGTTGAAACATGTCCACTGTGGATGACACTACTGGTATTCAAAATAGCAGTGGCATAGCCTCCAGCTCATAGCAACACGAAAGCCACCATAGTATGACAAACTGACAGATGAGTGGTGGAAGTAGGAACTACTGCCTCTAAATTAAAATATATTTTGAAAGAATTGTTAATTTGTTCAAAGGTATTCTTACAAACTAAGCACCTTCTCAGGGAAATAGGAGTCTCTCAACCAGAATGAAAGATTTGTGTGACTGTATGTTCATGTGAGTGCTCATGACATATGTGTGTGAGGTGTGCATGTGAGTGTTCATGAAGTGAGTGTGTATAAGTGTTCATGAAGTGTATGACTACACATGTGTTTGTGACGTGTATGCTTCTGTGTAAGTGTATGAATTGTGAGTGAGTTTGGGAGTGTGTACTAGGTGTTGCTAGGAAAGAAACTCTGAGAAAAGAAAACAGAAAACAATGAACAGGCATCCCAAGAACCCATCCATTGGGGCTGACATTCAAAAGTAAATCAGGATCCTTCAACCACCTATAGGCTCCAGTCACTAAAGTGAGAACAAGCCTTGAACTACTTTACTTCCTGCTTTCCTTGCTTTGTAGGTGATTGTGATATCCTTTACAAGTCAGCTTAAGAATTAGTTTTATCAAGATACTGAGTGATTCAAAACAGAACAGTAAGGACAAATGCTGTAATTCAAGGATAATAATTATCATCCTCATTTACAGATAGTGAACAGCAGGTCAGCTTAAGTTACATGACCAAGATTTCTGGGACGAGAACCCAGGTCACTCTGACGTCTTTTCCTACACCATGGTGTCATCAAGAAGATTGCACCAAAAGCCTACAAGAGAGATGTCTGTATATTAGATGCATAGTGACTCTGCTCTCAAACAGACTTTGCAGACATTGCAGGGAGGAAGCAGAGTCTAACAGGGAGTTCTGTTTTATTTTATTTCACCAAGAGTGCCAATTGCATTTCAATAGAAAAGAAATATAACTACCTCTTCTTTGAAGCAGGCTTCAGGCCCCTCTGCTTTGCAGCACTGCTCTATCACATTAGTGAAATCTGTATGAAATGAGCGCAGTCCCTCCTCTGTAATATGAGGTTTCAGCTTCACTATGTTGACAAGGTACCTGTAGCCCAGAGATGTCACCAAATAGAATCAATCACAGACTTCTTCAAAAACTCCTCCAAAATACTTGTCACACAATCACATGTCATGGGGTTTTAACTTGGGTGTACATTAAGAGTTAAAATATTACATTGTTGAAATGATCTCCTGAAACTCTCCATTTAAGGTTACGGGTAGATCCCTAGGTAATGTTCTTTGGAGGATTATGTAAACACAGGCAAATGGCATAAAAATGTACACATGTATTCAAAACCAAACCCACTGCCGTCGAGTCAGATCCGACTCATAGTGACCCCTCCTTACACATATATTAGGTTCTCATTATACACATTATTATAGAATATTTTACTACATTTGATCTTTCTAGAAATGTCAGATTGAAAACCACCTCCAGTCCTCTTTCCTCAGTACCTGAAAGCTATTGCCACTCCACTTGGTACAAACATTGCCTAAATCTAAAGAAATAGATCATGTTTCTTGCCATTTATAGAATTGTCTGAGAGAACAAAAGAAAAATTCCTATTCCTTTTTTCAAACATAAGGGAGATTCTCAAGGCAAACACTTATGCAATTCCCTAGGGAAAATCTGATTCATGATGAACTTGCTGGCTGTCCTAACTCACTTTTTCAAATCATAGTCTACCAGGCCCTCCTAGTCTTTAGCAAAGGAAAGACAAGCTATGTTTTTCTTGTAAACAATGGCAATAAATATCCTCTAATGTTTTTCTAGGAGCTCTGGTAGCATAGTGCCTAAAGCACTTGACTGCTAACCAGAAGGCTGGCGGTTCAAACCCACCAGCCACTCCTCGGAAGGAAGGTTGGGCAATCCTACTTCCGTAGTGATACTGCCTCGGAAACCCAAGGAGGGGTCGCTATGAGTCGGGGCCGACTCGACGGCAAATAACAACAACAACAACAACGTTTTTCTCAGGTGTAGCAAGGATCATGAGGCTGGCACAGGGCCACACAGTGTTTCGTTCGTGGTGCATAAGGTCACTATGGGTTGGAGATGACTCAACAGCACCTAACAATAACAACAACAGTGTTTTTCTGATTGGAGAGACTGGACATTTTGAAGGAAGGAACAGGGTTGTAACACTAACAACACCTATCTACTACAATAAACATTCTCAATGATAATGATTTGACTTCAGGCTGAAGGAAAAGATGAACAAGAGGTCTGTACCTGTCTTTCTTTCGCTGGAGTACTCCATTTTGAGCCTGGCACAAGTCTTCGTGAAGGGCAAATAAATCTTGAGAGGTTGATGGAGGCACATACGTTTTGTCAGCTTTCAAACCTTCAAAGCAGTGCCTTCTGAAGGCAAAGCTTGATTTGCAACATTGGTCCACAGCAGGGTTGATGGTTCGATTTCTATTTACTCCACAGAATTCTCCAAGAAGTAAATCCACCTGCACCAATGAGAGTTAGAATTCTGATAGGATTTTAAAACCTGACTAGACTTTTGAAATAGTAATTAGATAGGCAGGTAGGTTTTTCTAAGACCACTGTTAACTTTACTCAAGAAATCACATGCATTCATAATGCTACACTGTGTACAAAGTAAATTAGAGATCAGGGTCCTAAACAGTATTGTGATGAAAATTCAAATCATACCAATTTAAAAGCCTACAGATTAATTTCCTGGTAACATTTGCATAAACTTGTAATTATGAGCAGAGACTTGCAAACAGTCACCTGAAAATGGCAAACACAATGGCTCTGGAGTTTATCCTCCTCCTGGGATATCCCCAGTGCACTCTCCACCCAAACCCTAAAAAGATACATGCAATGTTTGATTGCACTGGAAGCTGCAAATTTACTGAACTGGTGAGGGAGGAGGAAGGATTTTTAACATTACTTAAAATTATAATGTTTCCTATATCATTCTGAAACAATGTTGGGATTCTTATACCATTTTCCATAAAAAATCACTTCCTATATAAATAAGAAGTAAGATCAATGATTTCAAGATCCCCAAGAAAATATTTAAGACATTCTCAATGCTTCTCAGGGTTTTGATATGGTGAGCCAAAAGGACAAGTCGATGCCCCTTCCTTGACGATGTTGAAAGCAATGAAGAAAGAAAGAGGGAGAGGGAAAAGAGAAGGCAGATGGATACAGGTAACCCCTATAAACCAATGGATGCAAATAGTCCTCTTTTTTTAGGACAGTCAAATATACAGGACATGCTCACCAAATTGTCAACACAAGCAAACTGTTCACGCTTTGCACAGCACATGCCCAAAGCTGCCACAATTTCCTTGCTGAGTGAGGTCAGTTCTTCAGTGGAAAGCTGGGGGGCCATCTTGGTGAGTTTGACAAAGTAGCTGAAAGAACATTAATCTGTAGTTTTGAATGAAAGAATATACCCATGTTCCCTTGCCTAACCTTGAAACCAAATATTTAAGATAAGAGACTGCCAACATAAGTTCAATGTCAATCTCAGCTCTGTTGCTAAAATGGTTAAAAAAAAAAAAAATGTCCCTTCACTCTCCATTTTCCTGCACCCTGTGTTCTATATATGACTTTCTCTCTAATCTCATAATAATCTCAGAAGCTCTTATGTTTGTCTCTCCTGTCCCATCTGTGAACATAGGATCTGCTTGGCTACAGATACATTGGTTAGTCTGTGAAATCCCTTGTGCAGTGAATATATATATAAAGAAGAATTTAAAACATTCATGTTAGAAATGGATAATCCGAGAAGGAAATTAAGTTCTTTCCTGGACTGAGCTGAATTCAGATTTCAGAAAGAGTAAAAGCATACTTTTTGAATGGTATTTTTGTTTGGATTTGAAGATATTTGGACTTACCAAACACTATAGTAGTATGATTATTAATTGAGAAAAATCAATTAAACTGCATATTATTCTTCAATTCTCACAAGAACACTGTAAATTAAATAAATATGCAAGTGTTAAGCAAGTTCAGAGTTATTTACACAAACTCTGTTAAAATGGTAATAAATCCAGAGAGAGAGAATGGAATCCAGAGGGGGCTGACTGTAATTGGAAGAAAGAGAAGTCTAAACAGAAACTAACGCATTAGGGAATCAGCTTGTTCAGAATCCTAGCCTCATTTCTTTTTCACTTGCATGACCTTTAATTCTAGCCTAATTTCTGGTGGAGTGTTAATGTGACAGCTCAATGTGCATTCCTGACATTTGTCCATGTTTTCACTCCTTCCAGAGTTTATAAATTAGCCATAACTGTGACTAATTTTCCACTCCTAATGGGACTCTATTTTATCCTGGTCACAACATTAACCTGCTTTTGTATACAACCTACTGGTATTTCAAGTCATCCTTCCCCAAATTCTGAAAACGTTCACACTCTTGGCGCACAATCTTGAGGCTTTTCTCGGTTGTTTTATTGAATTTTTCTTCCTAAAAATAAGCACAATCATGTTTATAACCATTTTATCTCAAATCTAATCATAATCTTCATGAGACTCATCAAATAGCTTTATTTATTTGTAAAATCTTTTCCGATGGTTATTATCATATACCACCCACTAAACTGAGGACAATTTTTATATATGAATAGGACTTGGGCTCTTTTCAATTGTATATGAAAAACATATAGATATGTTGTTGCTTAAATTCAAAGTCCAAATTTTTCATCATTATCATTATCTTGTACATTTGTCGAGAGCTTTCCAGTTTACAAAGCATGATTCAAATCTTATGTCGACAATGATTACATGAGATTCTCACTCTGAAGTGGCCAAAGCAGTTGTCATTTCCACTTTTAAGCAAAGGAAACAAGCTTTGTGAGGTTTAGTGACTTGCCCAAAATGACCCAGCTTGTAAGTATTGCGACAGAGCATTTTTAATCATTTTGTCTTTATTTCATACCTTATTTTTCCTCCTTTAGAATAACAACTGAAAATCCCCCAATAGTTATCTTCAAATATTTGATGAATTTTCTTTTTTGTAGCACAAAACTGGACATCTATTAAGTGGTCACTACAGAGAAAACTAAATTCTGTTGGGCAGATTCTTCTCAGTATTAAAAAAAAAAAAAAAATTCTAGCCATATGATACTTCTAAAAAAACAGATCACCTCATTAGGAACAGTGACAGAGTAAGAAGTGAAACTCAAATCTTAATCCATTGCCCAAATTTCAATGGTGGTAAACTGGTATGGAAATGGTTTTCAGGACAAATGGAAGAAAACTTTAAAATAAAGCAAAAGCAACACATATGAAAGGAAAGAGAAACAAATCAGAAGTGAGGAATTATTAACTTCTATAATAAATAAAGAGTGCATAAGAACTGATATTAAAAACAAATTTTAATAGGAAAATAGGTAATGAATATAATTTATATTTTCATAGAAGATTTGCAAATCCAATAGGTAAAATTATATGGGAAAATTTAACCTCCTTTTAAAAAAATGAACAAATGCTTGCTTAGGACAAAAGATAGTTTGGTCTTTTTTAACATATAAATCTAGAAAAGTTTATTTCCCTAAGTTGGTAAAGATGGAGGTGAAATGAACACCCTAAAGCACTGTTATGGTTAAAACATTCTAGAAAGTAACTTGGCAATTTGTGTAACATTTTTTTTAGAAGTCCATATGTTTGATCCCATCATTAGCCTCTTGATAATCTATCCTAAGAAAACGGTCAGGAATATCAATAAAAATGAATAGGGTAAGTTATTTATCTCAGGGTTGCTTATAAAATTAAAAACAATCTCAGTATACAAAATCTTCAACATACTCAGAATGAGTAATACTGTTGGAAAATATGTTCAGATTTCCAACTTGGAATTGTGGAAATATGTCTTTCATGACATACCCAGTGATGCCTTGTGCCAGAATAAGGAATAATTTTTGCCCATTACTTTATTCTACCACTAGCCAAATATGGGAGTGATCACCTTCAGCTCTGAATCAGTTCTCTCAGTAATAGATCAGTAATATAAATTATTTTTACATTATTATAATGAGATCTACCAGTCATCTGTCAGTATGCCATACTGTGGTGGCTTGAATGTTTTGAGATGCTAGAAGTTATGCCACCAATATTTCAAATACCACCAGGGTCACCCCTGATGGACAGGTTTCAGTAGAACTTCCAGACTAAGACATACTTTAGGAAGAAGGACATGATGGTCTATTTAAGAAAAAATTGGCCAGTAAACTTTATTAATAGTAAGGCAACATTGCCTGATATAATGTCAGAATATTAGCCCTTCAAATTGGAAGGCACTCAAAATATGACTGAGGAAGAACTGCCCCCTCAAAGTACAGTTGACCAAAATGACATGGATGGAGTAAAGCTTTCAGGAACTTCTTATGCTGGTGTGGCATGATGCAAAATGAGAAGAAACTGCTGCAAAAATCCATTAATAATTGTAACATGGACTGTATTAAATATGAATCTGGGAAAACTGAAAGTTGTCAAAAATAAAACAGAACACATAAAGATTGATATCCTAGGCACTGGTGAGCTGAAATGGACTGGTATTGGCCATTTTGAATCAAATAATCATATGGTCTATTATGACAGGAATGACGAATTAAAGAGGAATGGCATGGAATTCAGTGTCAAAAAGAGCAATGCTGTCAGTGATAGAAATAATATCCATATGCCTATGAGGAAGACCAGTTAATACTACTATTGTTCAAATTTACACATGAACCACTGAAACTAAAGATGAAAAATTGAAGATTTTTTACCAACTCCTGCAGACTGAAATTGACCATACATGCAATCAAGATGTATTGATAATTACTGGTGATAGAATGAGAAAGTTGGAAACAAAGAAGAAACACCTGTAATTGGAAAATATGCCTTGGTGATAGAAATGACACACAGATCACATGATAAAATTTTGCAAGACTAATGACTTCTTTACTGTAAATGCCTTTTTCAACAATATATATGATGACTATACATGGGGACCTTGCCAGATAAAATACACAGAAATCAGATTGACTACATCTGTGGAAAGAGATGATAAAGAAACTCAATATCATCAGTCAGAACAAGGCCAGGGGAAAATTGTGGAAGAGACTATCCACTGTTCACATGTAAGTTCAAAGTGAAATTGAAGAAAATAAAAAGAAGTCCATGAGAGTCCAAATATGACCATTAGTATATCTCACCTGAATTTAGAGACTTATCTGAAGAACAGATGTACTGCACTGAAGACCAATAACCAAAGACCAGGGAGTTGTTGGATGACATCAGAACATCATATATGAAGAAAGCAAAAGGTCATTTAAAAAGCAGGAAAGAAAGAAAAGACCAAAATGGATGTCAGAAGAGGCTCTGAAATTTTATGTTGAATGCAGAGTAGTTGAAATGAATGGAAAAAGAAATGATGAAGTAAAAGAGCTGAATAGAAAATTTCACAGGGTGGCTAGAGAAGGCAAAGTATTACAATGAAATATACAAAGACATGGAGTTGGAAAATCAAAAGGAAAGAAACACACTCAACATTTCTCAAGCTGAAAGAACTGGGGAAAAAAATCAAGCCTCAAGTTGCAATATTAAAAGATTCTATGGGGGAAAAAAAAAAGATTCTATGGGTAAAATATTAGATGATGTAGGAGGCATCAAAAGAAGATGGAAGGAATATATATATAGTCACTATACCAAAAAGAATTGGTCAATGCTCAACCATTTCAGTATATGTGATAGTTGGAGCTGTGTGTCAACTTGGCTGGACCCCAGTTCTCTGTGGTTGTTCCCATGATGGGATCAGATGACTGTGTTCTGAGTGGCCAGTCTGCCCAAGGGGAGTTTCCCTAGGGGTGTGGCCTGCTTCCAAGATATCCAGGGACATCCTGGGAAGAGACAC